CAGATGCACTATCCAACTACTGTCCGGAAACTTCAACTGTTCAATCGATCCACATCTGACATAAAAGAATCCGTCATTGAACCAAATCCACACAAAAGAAGTTCTACTCTTTATGCCAGCCAAAGAAGAACAGATATATACACAATGCAGAATCAATCAATGCATCAATGTTAAGAAACCAGCTTTAATGGAAATCCAGATGCCAAAGAGTGACCATCAGTTCAAGGAACATATAAGGCGATGTTCAACTAAGAGAAGAAGAGCATGCAAATCCTGCCTGTAATTTTGGCAATCTTGAAAAACCAAAGTCCTAAGAAACCAACTTTAATTAAATCCGAATGCCAAGTGACTATCGATTCAAGAACATATAGAAACGATGTTCAACTAAGAGAAGGAAAACCTTTAATCCTGCCTGAGGTACAACTAGAAAATCTTGAAAACCAAAGTCCAAATTCGAGATATATTGTCTTGAAGCTATCGAAGAGTATCCTTGACGATACGAACGAGATAAAGAAAAATTCAATGAACTATCACCGATCAAAGAAGACGAAGAAAGAGAACCTATCAGCCAAGTCATCTCTCGATATTGCGATTATTTTCATTTTGTCTAATAATTTACGAAAATATGCACCTAGTGTTCAGAAAATACCCACAACTCAAAGGAGTACTTTCCATGTTTTAAAGAAGAAATAGAACAGCGTAATTTCCAGTCCCACAGAGGACCCCCGAAAAATAACTCCGTTATTTTCTTGTCCAACAAGGGAGGATTATATGTATAAATAAAGTTATTCTTTCATTGTAATTAAATACTGAATGCCTAATTTTACATTTATGTCACATATAAAAGCGAACTGCACGGTCTGAAGCAGACCTTTCACTCTCTGTACTTTGTCGAGAACGTTTGTAACAATAAAATCGTTTTTTAAAAACAACTCTGTTAATTCAGACTCTCAAAACTGGGAATAAAGAGATAATAGAAAGCAATATTTTTGTATATCGTTTGGTAAACAAGATAAAAGTGACCAAGTCGATTTGTAAAGAAATGTTTTATTTACGTGTATTTTTACATATGCACTTGAACAAGTGTAATATCAACAATGTATGGGTTATGTAATAAAAAATACAGCTGCTCAATTTTTTTAAAAAATATATTACAATTTCTAAATCCATGTCTTCGATCTATGGAATTACATTTAGTTTAATAACATAATTATATAGTATATTTTATAAAAAGAAATACTTTTCAGGATCCCTTTGGAAAGAGTGAAATATTATGTTTGTCGAAGAATAAGACCTATTTTTGCAGTCTTCCCATAAGCACACACATTGCCACCCATCTCGTCTCTTTTCCTGCTACTCGTGTCCTGTCTCAGGTATTCATATTTAACAATAGTTACAAATTAGTACGCAACAAAAACGATACTAAAATTAAACCTTAAAACCTCTCAAAACGATAATATATGGAAAAACTCTGAAAACACCCTTTAAAAAGGCAAAAATGCAAGAAAACAACCAATCAGATTTGTTTATGTTTAAGCCTGATTAGCACAGCTGATTAGCGTCCTAAAATCATAGGTTAGAATAAATAAAATACGCCGTTGTCAGATTTTCAGATTTTATCTGTTTATCTTTGAAATCGATCAACTTTATTCTGTTTCTTTGATATTATCATTGCGAAAAAAGAACTTAAACCAACCTAAACTAAAAATTTACATTTCCGTATTAACATACGTTACTTATATCCTTCTTATATTATTAATTTATTTTCAGAAAATCTTGTTTATTTTTCAAAGAAATTTACTGGGCAACAGACAAAATGGAACTTGATGGGACCTTTAAATTTTAATATATCTGCGACTCTCTCGCGAAATTCGACTTCTTTGTTCACTGTCGTCTCTTGGCTTATCTACTCTTTGGTCTAACTATAAAAACACAATGAATTTTAAAAATTATTGTACTTAAGTATATACCTATCCTAAAAATCAGTTACCTTAATACCTTTGTTCAAATAACACCATGCATGGCAATGTCAATATGACAGAGTAAATACTATTGATGTCGCTAATTTAAAAAATGAGCGATTCGGAATGTATTTCCTCTGACATTGAAGAAGAGGCATTCAGAGCCATTTCTGGATTGCTTCCAGCAAGATCGAAACAGAAGTGTGAATATATAATCTAAGTATGGAAAATGGTGCACCCAAAAAAAGTACACAACTATGGAAATGAAAAGATAACATATTTTTCCAATTTAGTGCAAAATAAGTGTTTTACAAAATATTTTTTTCTTTTTGGTAGTCATCTAAACAAGGAGTGCGGTAATGAAAATGCCCGAGTTAAGAAGATCTTAACTCACTCAAAATGATTGAGTTAAGAGCTTCTTTACTCACTGACGTAGATAAAAGAAATTATCTACTGTGAAACTTTGTAATAATTAATAGATGATTTTTGAGATGTAAAGTAGTAAAATATTTTAAATTTTGTTTCTTAATATTTTCTGTTAAATTAAAAAAAATTGGTAGATTTGCGTCCTTATGTTATACAGTATGTCTATTATGAGTTTACAAGAGAAAAAGCTTTTTTATTATTGACATTTTCAGAAAAATGCTTATAGTTTATGTTTATACTTTTCTAAGTTTCTATACCGTTTTAGAGAGAATTAAAAAAAGACATGAAAATATAGAAAATATAGTTGAATTTTTTGTTCTAAAAAAACCGCAAAAAATATGACGTTAATCAAAATTAATAATAACTATCTATCAAAGAATGAAGTCGAAATTATATTACCATAGAAACGCCCTTTAATTTTTAGGACTTTTTCCTCTTATAAAGACAATCCGGGGACATACTGTATATGAATTGGCAGGGTTAGGGACCAGGAAATAAAAAAAATATTTAAAAAATTGCCGACGTTTTGACCTATATTCTCGTCTTTTCCAAGGCTATTTTCAGCTAAAATATTCTTTGGTCGATCTTAAACATGTGGCTTTATCCTGATGATAGTATAGGTACAATTTCAATGATACTGTACAAAAAAAAATAAAATGTGGGTGGAATTATTTTGATAGTAAATTTGCAAGGTGTTGATAACATTGCGCAAGGTATTGCAAGGCGTAAAATTTTGAAAATTAGAAATTTTTTGGAAATGTTTTTAATTTTTAGTTAAAAAAAACATAAAATCTTCATAATATGGCAACATAGGTAGTATATTAAATTTACTAGAAAAAAAAACATAAAAGATTCCGTGGTTCTCAAAATTATTTTTAAAATATCTCGGTTATTTTGAACTTATTTGTAAAACGGCTGAGAATATGTTTTAGCCGGAGAGCTGGCGACATATTTAGAGAACATATTTTAGGCAAGTTAGAATAACAAAAAAAAATAAAGTTTAATAACTTGTGAACCCAGAATCCTAAGTCTGGCTGGTGGGTTGGGGGTATTTCGCTACTGCGCAACCCATAACCATTTGCAAAAAAATAAATCCAAAAAACATTCTGTAGGCAACTTGAAATTTGTTTATTCTTAAATTTTAGCATCTATTTAACCTAGAAATAAGTGTGCCAGACTTTTTTTTCGGGTTTAAAGTGTAACCAGACCATTCCAAATATGTTTAATTATTATACCTGGAAAACATATTTTAGGCATTCTAAAATTTTTACATCGTGTTTATTAGATGATATTAAAAAATGTGTGTTAATTGCCAGACGAATTCGATGGGATTTAATACTTGCCAGACGCGAATAAAGATTTTAAATGAGCGCGACAAGAAAGTCTTATGAGTATCTATAAGCGCGAGAAAGATAGTTTATTGAGACCCGTCGGCAGCCGATGCGGTTGACGTAACAGTATTTTGGAGTATGTACTGCAAATTTTCATAAAAACAATTTTTTTCGGTTTCATTTCAATTACTTGCAGGCTTTTAGTTGTGTAGTTTGTAAAAAATTTAATAGTGACAAAGTTATTGTTTTTGATGAAGGCACACTACAAAAATCTAAAGAATTTTTAAAAGTGCGCCAACAACATGGTTTAAAATTTAAAGAAGTAGTTTTACCAGAAAACGTAGTCCCGACAAAAGGGTACCATGTACAGTGCTAAAAAAATAAGTATTCTGGAATTTTATTAAAGTACCTACCATTGTTAATCTTTCTAAATAGATTCAAAAGTAAGTAAAAGGGCTTTACTTTTATGCTTAGGCGTTAAAATGACTATTTTATATTGTCAATCAGGTCGCAAAAATTAATAATAATATAATATGTCACAAAAGTATAATAATAATTATACTTTTGTGACGTTTGAAAAAAATATATTTTATATTATGCTAATTTTTAAATAATTATTCGTCTTTTTATTGTTTCAGTTACAAAATACTTAAATTAAAAAGTCTTCTTATTGAAAGGATTTCAATCATACATTTTTATTAAAAAATGTTTCTTTTTATTTATTCAATATTAGTTTTTTTTTAGTTTTTACGACTCCAAAATGCTGTTACGTCAGCCGCATCGACTGCCGACCGGGTCTCAATAAACTACCCTTTCTCGCGCTTATAGATACTCATAAGACTTTCTTATCGCGCTCATTTAAAATCTTTATTCGCGTCTGGCAAGTATTAAATCCCATTGAATTCGTCTGGCAATTAACACATATTTTTTAATATCATCTAATAAACACGCTGTAAAAATTTTAGAATGCCTAAAGTATGTTCTCCAGGTATAATAATTAAACATATTTGGAATAGTCTGGTTACACTTTAAACCCAAAAAAAAAGTTTGGCATACTTATTTCTAGGTTAAATAGATGCTAAAATTTAAGAATAAACAAATTTCAAGTTGCCTAAAGAATGTTTTTTGGATTTATTTTTTGCAAATGTTATGGGTTGCATGCGCAGTAGCGAAATACCCCCAACCCCCCAGCCAGACTTAGGATTCTGGGTTCACCAGTTCTGTCTGTTAAATAAAAGCTTTACAGTATTTTGATAAGAATAAGAAAAAAGGTTATATTTACTTTATATTTATCGGTGAGGTATAGGTACTTCTCAGCTGAAATATTGGATCCAATAATTTTGGTAGATCCTGTCAACACACAGACGCTTGTACATATTAAGGCGGATACCCAATAGAAGGAGGCAAAGTGCATTATCATCCCTGGTTTCACACTTCCACATCTACAAAAAATTACTACTATTAAAAAGACCTTACTAGGGCTAGAATAGAATCTCTCTAGTAAACCTACTCAAATGTATATATTGCAGCATTCATGGCAGATTTATTTGAAATATATACCCCTTTCGGAGATGACGTAGTACCGCTGCTGAACATAATAAAAGCTATATCGCTGTCTTTTTGTTTAACCGGACTAAAAGTCTTCTCGTTTTCATAAAACTGATTTTCTATGGATTTCATTGTAGGATACTTATCAGAATTTCCCATAACAACTAAACGCGCAGTACTTTCACACGATGTACTTTCACACAAAGCCTTTTCTACTGTATTAACAGAATCTTGATCAACAAACATTAATTTTGGTCGTACTAATCCAATAAAATACTTTATGTCGTCTAGTGATAGTCTTGGATCGGCGGAACTAACGCATCCTCCAAGGTACAGCGTTCCCAATATTGGAATGATGTTGTCTAGATTGTTTTTACAACATACCAGTGCCACATCTCTTGGTTTGAAGTCCAAGCTCTTCATCGCAAGAGCAAGTTTTATTGATCTGGCTTTTACTTGGCCATACGTTTCTGATTTCTCAGTGTCACCGTCAATCTAAAAGTTTGTTTGAAAAAAATGCTTATATTTATTACTCAGGGCAGTTTAATCAGTCAGTATCAGCAGACAAACAATATCAATAAACAAATATTACAAATATTATTTCAACACCAGTGTGCCAACACCGGTGTCGGTGTCGACACCGGAGCACCGGATAGCCCATATTTCACCACCGGTGTCAAACGGTGTTCCGGTGTTTGGAACAGGCCTAGTTTCATCTCGTAGTAATTTGACTTTCGAAAAATTCGTTTGCCAAAAATATGCTTTTTACGTCAAGCAGTTTAAGCACAATAGTGGTTAATCAATTACCCAACTTTTTGGAACACCCTGTATGATTTTTTAAAAAAAATTCAAAATAGGTATGTAATAAAACCAAATAAATTATGCTTGTCCAAGCGTTTTCCCGAAAGACTAACCGTTTTTTAAATAACAATTATTGTAATATTTGAGGGGCGTTTTCACCCTCTTGGAATTTGAGATTCGAGAAACCCCTCCTTATCGAACCTCTACACCCACAGTCAATCCGTTTGCCAAAAATCAGCTTTTAACGTCAAGCAGTTTAAGCAGAATCATGATTACTCAATGGTCATATTTTATGAAACACCCTGTATAAATTTATAAAAAATCTTAAAATATGTAAAACAACAAAATAAAATATACGTGTTTAAGAGTTTTTCCGAAAAACTCACCGGCTTTTAAATAACAAATATTTTAATATTTGAGGGATAGTTTCACCCCCTTAGAATTCGAGTTTCGAAAAATCCCTTCTTATCGGACCTCTACACCCTAAAGTCAATCTGTTCTCCAAAAATCAGCTTTTTACGTCAAGCGCTTTAAGCAGGATCGTGATTAATCAATGACCAGATTTTTCGAAACACCCTGTATACATTTTTTAAAAATCTTAAAATATGTAAAAGACAAAATAAAATACACGTGTTTAAGCGTCTTTTCGGAAACTTGACCGTTTTTTAAATAAAAAATATTGTAATATTTGAGGGGTGGTTTCACCCTCTTGGAACTGGAATTTCGAAAAATCCCTTCTTATCGAACCTCTACACCCTAGAATCAACCTGTATGCAAAAACTGAGCTTCTTACGTTGAGTGGTTTGAGCAGGATCGTGATTAATCAGTATGTCAGTCACTTAAGGATTTTATACCCCGCTGGTAAGCGAACCTTTAGGTCGGCGTTTACATGTATTTACCGACTTTAGGTCGGCGTTTACATGAGTCGTTATGGCAACCTAGTAAATCGGAATGAGCAAAAATACGAAGTATTTATTACATAACTGCTTAATCTGACGCTAGATTCCATGCGCTTGGGAAAATACTCGCCTTCTGTCTTTATTCAGTACATCTTATTTTACTAAGCATGTTGACCGTACTCTTCGTACACATGAAAACCGGCACCCAAGACCAGAAATGCCGACCCTTAGTATATTAGTATAGATTCTAATGGACCGATTTTGATGATTTTTTAAGCAATTTGTAGCTGAACTATTCGACTTTTTAGTATCTCTTCTAAATTAAAAATAAAAGTTGCCATCTATCAATTATACGAGAGAAAACAATATTTTGATATTTTGGTGAAACCTTCAAACTAGATGTTAACTAGAACATTATCTAGATGTATCTTTTCTCGATAGTTTTTTTTGATTCATCTCAAAAAGCATTAATTGTTTTAAAATATTCGCTTTTTAAGAAAACTAACATTTTTTTTTCTAGTCCTAGTCAACAGACCTATAAAATAGTATTTATGATTTATGGAATGTCACTGTTTTTGAAAAATCGAATTACTATTGTCTGTTGGGCAGTTAGTTAATCTAGCAAATATGGTCCAAATAAGTCCAAAAGTTTATCTCCACCATGATCAATTAAAAAATAGCTGACACTTCAGAACGTAACACCATTTCTACTAGAGTAGACGCCAATAAACAATAATAATATGACCTTTCAGTGACAGTGACATTACAAAAACAATAATAGTTATTTTTTATACAAGACGATAAAATGGTATTTTATGGTCTGTTGGTACGATAATGCAATTTTATCGTCGTGTATAGAACAATATTTTTTTCCATAGCGAGTTACGATTTAAAAAATATTCAGAAATTATTATTTCAAGGAATTTATTACGAGTAGAAAAAATATTTTGCTGGGTTGGCGTTGGTTTCTATGTAATTTGACAAATAAATAAAGCTGTCTCTTTAGTTGTCAGTTTTAAGTCAATATTTCTTAATTCTCTTTCGTGTCGATTGCTGATTGAATTGGAGCCAGAAATGGCTCAAAACGAAATAAGTAAATTACTAACAGATATTCAGGCTGAGGCGACAAACGCCATATCCAAACTACTTCCATTTAAATCCCGAATAACTTATAAAAAGGAACACAAAAATTTTCAAAAATGAAAGCAATTAAAAAACGTGCGAGAAGAAATAAAGTTTTTAACCTATCCTCCCTGTTAAAGTATCATTTATTATACCCTGGCGGTTAAAGTACCATTTTATCTACTATTTTTGATAGATATGGCAATTTTAACAGTTGCTATGGAAAAAACACTATTTTATGAGTGTGTTGATGAAGACCCAAAATCAATGCTAAAATTGCTGTAAATCGGTAATGTTTTATTCAAAAGCCAATATATCCAATAAAAATAAAGATATTGAGATGAATCAAAAAACAAATAATCCAGAAAAGATGTACCTAGATGATAAAATGATTTCTAAATTTCTTGCTTTGTTAACATATTCCAAAGGGTGCTTTAAATTTCCATCAAAATATCAACATTTTGTTTTCCATCGTATAATTGACAGATGGAAACTTTCATTTTTAATTTAGGAAGTCAAATAACTTAGCAGCAAATTGCTTAAAAATAATCAAAATCGGCCTACCAGCACAAAATATATTAAACTTTAAAATACATGACAATTTTCAGGTGCCCGTTTTTCATGCCTCTAAACGAAAAATAAGAGACTTTTTTAAATAATGACATCAAGAAGCACATACCTGAAAAATTCTGTCTTTTAATTCTGCAGCTTTCTCAAAAAAATATTCGGCAAAACCTTTTAAAATAGGTTTATGGTTACTTTTTGGTCCTTGTATAACTAATTCCTTCATCTTGATTGGTATTTTAAATTTAAAAAAATAAAAAACACGTATTTAAAGAAAAACACAAAGATAACATAATCACCGTAAACAGAATGCAAGTGCAGTTTTTGTAATCTGTTTTTATAATTGACTATGGCGTTCTATTAATACATCACACAAGCACAACTCAAGTGTGCAATAATTGCACTATTCACTGAAAATAGTTATTAAAAACAAAGCATTGTAAATATTGTTTGAGAAAACTACATTGCGAACCTAGCAATGCAAATATTCTTAGAAGTTATTGTTCTATACAGGATGATCCAATGTTTGGGTTTATTTTTTTCACATTTTTGATGACTATTTATGTTATGAAAATACTTAATTAGCTTTATTAATAAATTGTTTAAACATAATTGTTATTAATAACATTCTCAGCTAATAAACCATTGAAAAAAAAGGCGCCAAGGATGGCTTGGAAATCTACACTATCGCGCTCTCATTTTTTATGGGAAAGATACAAGGAAAGATATACCTATGGGAAATATCATTGTGAAGTTTGGAATATAGGTTAAGGAATAAATTGGATATATTTGATCTATCTATAGCAACCAATTGGATCTCACCTTGATCTCACACAAGGAGTTACACAGGGTGAGTCTTAAATAAGTGCAAATATTTTCAGGGATCGTATATTTCGACCCCAGAAACACGTCTATGAGTTTTTTTTCACCAAAAAAAGATCTTAAAAATCGTGCATTTTCTTTTAGATTTCTCTGTATATTTTTCGAAAACTTTTTGGAACTGCCTGTTCACCGCAAATTTTGCCACGTTATAATTCCTTAATCTCAAATATTACCATAGTTACGGTTGTGGTTACGGCATTACCACGCATTACTCTATGTTTACGGCACTAATCCCTTTTAGCAAATACAGAAAAAAGCCGGTGGCTCTCAAAATATTTCAAAAAAAAGTTTATATTATATTTTCAAACTATTTTTAAACTTTTTCAACCGTTATTTTCGACATATCTGAAAAATGGTAAAGAGAAAATATGTTTCTTTTATCGAAATCTACCAGCCCTAAAAATATTTGCACTTATTTAAGACTCACCCTGTATATAGCTTTTGTTACGAGTAAAAAGGGGATGGGGGATGGGCTAGTTGAATTTGACACTTTATTTCAATTTAATAATATATTTTTCTATTTCTATACTTAGACGTAAAAGTGTTTCACTTTTATGCCTAGGTGCTAAAATTACTTTTTTATATTGTCAATAGGCGCAAAATTAATACTTTTGTGACATTTTAAAAAGATATATTTATTTATGTTTGTTATAAAATTACTCACATCTTTGTTGAAAATTTTAAATTTTTTCCGGCAATAATATACCCGGCGCTCCATTTAAATTAACAAAAATGCTACTGCTTTTCGAATGACGTTGCAACATTGTAACGCTGACAATAACTTAGACAGATGGAGCAGGGAGCAGGTGCCTTTGTGTGAAAATCCAAATTTTCGAAAAAAAACCTCTAACCTCTAAATTACAGCGTTGCCATGAATCATCCTGTATATGTTTTCTCGACCGTGACATTGAAGTACGATTATAAAATTAATATAAATATTTATTTATACTTAAGTAGAACTATTTCATAATACCATGTGTTAGATGAAATGTTTAGCTTAGTCAATAACAAATCTAGAGCAACTATGTTATTATTGACGAATAATTTCAATGCATAATCCATTTTCTGTAGTTATCTTGAATGGCATCTGAAGGTAGACGACTTTTAAACGGCCCACAGACGATTCAATCTGTTGTACAACAAGTTGGACGATTTGGTTTGATCCAACTGTTTGAACGATAATCGTAACGTCTGTGGGCTTGTCGTCCAACTTGTCATTAAGACGCGGTTGGATCGTTTGGTAGTTCAGCATGTTTTAAAAATCTGTCGTACAACTTGGTTGGATCAACGACAAGTTTGAACGTCTGTGGCTTTTTTACCGACTTGTTGCTACTATGTTAATACAGAAGTACATCGTGTAGCGAGATTGTGGTGTTTCATCATGGAGGAAAATAGGCAGTTTTGGACAGAATAACAGAATTTATTGAAATTTATAGAGACTCATCATGAGATGAGTTATCATTAGAGAGATTATTAGAGACTCGCCATTAGAGAGACTATCATCCGAAAACAACGCGACTACTAAAGCAGCTACGGTTTTTTTTACATGGTTTATGGCATAGTCAAACATACACTGAGTCACTGAACTAATTCATTTAAAATATTTAACTAATCGTACTACAAGTCGCTTTAGAATGTCGCATGTCGTTACGTTTGTGGCCAAAAGTATATACGGTCGGTCTGAACGATTTTTCGTCCAACCTATCGTACGATCAGTTGTACAACTGATTGTATCATCTGTGGGCCTCTTTAATTACACAAGCAACTCTTTTATATTGTACACAGACTGTCCTTTTTAGATATATAACATTTTTCTGTCGTTGGTCAAAAATTTATATATGACACATTTTATTTTATTAGACCTAGAATTTTTAATCTACTGAAACGAAAGACAGATTGGTAAATTGTACAAGACAATGAGATGATTTGTTAACATAAGAAATCCAATAAAGTATTGTTGCGAGCCGGTGTGGACTCGACCTAACCTCACAATATGGCCCGCCCTCGGATGACCTTAACATCGCCTAGACACCGCAATGATTCATTCGTTCGAGAAGAATCGAGACCCACTGGAATGGACTAGTACATACGAGAACATTCGAAAACCTTCTCTATGCGCCTAACGATCTATGGACTATTCTAGATTTCTTTTGCTGTAGGTATAAAAGCCGGCGGCAGTGGCCTAGAGGGGGCAGTTATAAATATACAGTTGACGCGCTAAAATTCAAAATAAATTCTTAGTTATAAATCGTTTGTAAATAGTTCTATAAGTCTTTTATCGTTATTAATTTTGTTAATTAGTGTTAAATAAATAGTGTTTAAATAAATTGTGACTTTCTATCCACACGGAACCGACGAAAAACGTAACAGTATGGTTTATGTTGGAGATAAACCAGATAAATTCAATTGGACAGTAGAAAATTAACTAAAAGTAATATAGTACATATATAGAGTAATATCTGAGAAGTCGACTTTATTTAGAATAATTTTGTAAATATAATATTATGTGACGTTAATAAAGGCTTCAGGATACTTAAAGTAGTCTGTGCAACTATGGAATTCTGTGACAGTGACAGCTCTTGTTTGTTATTTTATATCAAGTAAGTAAAGAATTATTTCTTTCTTTGAATTTTTGGATGTTGCACGTCGAAATCAACTCTTCTAGAGTTGGACATGGAATTTATATTATCTGCACGTCTATCGTTGATATACAACAACTCTAGTCCAGCTTAATGCTGTCTAAAAATATCGATATTTTATAATTTCGATCTCAAATAAAAATAAAGTACATATTATATCCATGTTTAAATTTAAGCACCTGTTAATTATACTATTAAAAATATTTTTTACATATTTCCAAATATTTTCATTAATTTATAGTGTCTTTAATGGGAAAATATTATACGGTCTTCTAAAAGAGCCTGCATCTACTGGAATTTTTTTATTATTAAAGAATACCAATAATTTTAATATTACTATAATATGTGTGTCATTAAGGAACATGTATAATAATCTTGTAGATTATATTTTATTTGTCTTACTATGTTGCTTTCTAAAAATATACTAATGAATATATCATGAGCTTTTAGTCACAAATACACACCCTTTGATATAAAGTTAGGTTATTTACAAAGATATTTAAACTCGAGTTTAAATATCTTTGGATATTTATAAGAGTTTTACAAAAAAAAACACATTTTATGTAGTATAATTTATTTTGAGAAAGTCAGTCTCAACATTCTATGATTTACAATTTACTGAATGAAATGCAGTATTAAAATTTTGTAAACTAAACATTTTATTTAACATTTCTTTGATAGTCCTACGTTGTATTTTCCCTGTTGGTGTCTTCGGAATATCGTTCACAACTAAAATTCCAGCTCTCAGTCTATGACTATTTGATACCCGTTCATTTGTATAAACCATCAATTCTTTCGCATCCACTTCAGACATCGGTTGCAAAACTACCAAAGCTCCTGGATGATTATTATCTACTAAATGTTTTACGCCAAAAGCTACAGTCTCTACCACTGCTGGATGCGGAACTATGACGTTTTCAATGACACTAGGAATGATCTGATTGGTTTGGTATTTGAAGGTGTCGTTCACTCGCCCTGTGACGTAGACGTAGTGGTCCTGATCGTAATAACCGAGGTCACCGATTTTTAGAAAGCCGTCCTCGTCAAAAGCGGCGTTTGTGTCGAGGTTGTGGTAGCCTGACATTGAGGATGGACTCCTGATTCGGATTTCTCCTTCTTGATTATGTCCCAGCAGGTGGCCTGTTGTCAAATCAATAATCTGCAAATAAGAACATTAGAGCTTTGAGCATAATATTCCAAAATAAATAGGGACAAAGAACTACAAGCACGTGACATATTCACCAGGGCCTGTGCATATCCGTATAAAGAACCACAAGCACAAATTAATGAGGTAAATACAGCCAGCAATAAAGTGGAGTCAAAATAAATTTAGCAAACACTAAAGTAATGTACAACGAACTAGTGGAAAGTAAAGACATTCTAATAGATAACATAACTTTGAAAATAGAAGAATATATAGGAGATCCTTGCTACCAGAAACCAACAGAAGAATTAAGTTAGCACGAAGTACTGTAGCGTTTTTTAAACAACCACCACTGCGAACGGCAGCTTTTCATCGGAGAGCAGTCGTGGATAAGGTATTTCACTGGAAAGAAAACTAATTAATAACAATAAACAAAAAAATAGATATTGGGCGCCAGGCATGTACAGAGAAAGAAAACACAGTTGTATATTACTTAAAACTAATGACTATATTCATTCATGATGTTCGTGCTGATACATGACATTGTAGAGTTCTAGTGAATATGTAGTGGTTATATGTCAAAGAAAGTGGTGGTAAGAGTTGTACTAAATATCTATGAAAACAACTATGATAAAATACAAGACATGTAAAGTTTAAGAGAATATATGAAATGTAGCATTACTTTAATTAATTTGATATATTTTATATGATGTTAGTGCAATAATAATATCTATAAAAAAGTAATACTATTACAAGACATAATGCAATGAAACCTAAGATCTAAATTATATTTTAACTACTAAATCGACATGAATGTTCTTAACAATCTAACCACTCAACATAGTCTATACGATATTATTTAAGATGTACGTTATTGTTTAAGACTGTAAATGTTTTGAATGTTAAATGCAAAACTATAACTTAAATCTACACTTAGCTGTTCTTTATGCAATCCTGCTTAAAACAGTAACATCGTGAGGTGGTCTCGCATTTCTCTGTACTCAGCCATCCAACACAACCAAAGGGGCCAGAATGAGGACACCATGACTTGATACACCCGTAACTAACTAGCTTATAGCTGGGAACGAAGCAGCATGGGACTCAAGCTACATCCACGCTGTGGCACTTATATGTAGGAAAAAAATCATTCTCACTGGGGACACTCGTCCACAGGACATCTGTACATAAGATAATGTCTGTACATAAGACACTATCCGTACCTTGGACACAGTCCGTACCTTGGACACAGTCCGTACCTTGGAAATAGTCCGTATCTTGGAAATAGTCCGTACCTTGGAAATAGTCCATACCTTGGACCCTCGAAATACTTCCGAGGGGTCAATAAATAATAAACAACGTGTCCTTTCTTCCATGTGACATTCTGGAGGACAAAAAAAAAGGGACGCCAACGTGCCAGCAAAACACAAATACAAGTTGAGACATCCGTAACTCTACCCTAAAAATATTCAATAATAATATCGAATCTAAAAGGATAATATTTCATCTTTACCTGTTGCTTTGAAATAGCAGCTGATTCAGATTATACAGCAAGATTTAAATAATCACCATTTCTAAAAGCTGGGATACAACAGAGCGTCAAAATAAAGTGAGGTTAAGCACAGAGAGTTGACAGAAGCGATGTTGACAGCGCGCGCCTCCACAGAATAGTAACAGGGTTGTGTCGAACGATAACAGGGTTGGCGACTAGAGAACGTAAAAATTACGCGTTAAATAAACTATCCGGCCTGAACGAGAGGGAATCCGGTGATGATAGGCGAGACATCATATATTATATATAAAAAAGACATGTAACGAACTAAAAACGTTACAGTACTTATGGCAGAAACTCAATCATATTCAAATCTAGATCGATATATGACATTCAATCTAAAGAAAAAAACATTCGACTAATGTGTACCTACTACTACCAGTCATGACCTATGCATACGAAATCTGGACACTTAAAACGGACATCATAGGCAAAAACGAACACGAAAAAATACCTCAATTCGGAAAAAAAATAGTGTCAAAGAAATTATTGTTTTAAGTGGATCAGTTGACCCTTAGAAGTAACATACCAAAAGTACTCAGCCATAGACCTTGTGCGTTAGCCGGGGGTGGGTGGAGGGGGAAGGGGTGAAAAGGGCCGGTTTATATATGTTTCGTTATTATCTCGAAAACTAAGCATCCTAGCGAAAAAAAATGTCCTATACAAAATGAAATTAAATTCAATGGTTTACAAAAAAGGTTCTATTCTTTTTTTCGCTAGGCGCAGTAGTGAAGAGTGTATGATACTTTCAAAATGCGAAAATTATGAAAAACCATGTTTTTGTTGTTCAAGGATCATATCAAATGATCATATAACCTAATATCAACAGAAAAATAAAGTTTGTTTTGCGAGAGGCATCTTGCGGCAAATAAGCTGACTAGTTGTAGCTTAGGTATTGTATTAAAAAATATAGATGTCGCCATCAATGATCTAATTAAATTGGTTTGCTGCTTTATCGTGTCAAGTGGAACGTTGGCTCAACATTCGGCAAAATATGCGACCTGTACGTGAAATACATAATTTGTCACTATGGTGAACAGTGCACTGTGGTATTTGATGGTTACGGTGATGCCAACAACATCAAAAGGGCTGAGCAAAAACGAAGGGGGCTTTCAAAACCCTCATTCAACATCCACTTTGATGAGACCACATCCTGCACTATTCAGCAGGAGAACTTTTTATCTAGTGAGTTTAACAAAACCAGGCATATCAACTTTCTTGCAAAAAAATTCAAGCTCAAGGACTAATAGCAATAGTAGCCACAGGAGACGCTGATACCAAAATCGTAAGCTGTCGTTTGCAGGCAGCTAACCAGCATCAAACTGTGACAGTCATAGGCGAGGATATAGACCTGCTGGTGTTGCTTATTGCATTAACCCCCCCTGAAAAAGAGATGCCTTCCTTTAAGCAAAGCAGGGGAAAGGTGGAGTCACGTTGGTATAATGTCGCCAACTTCCAAAAGCTTCCATATGCGAAGGCCATTCTGTTACTCCATTCGTTCAGCGATTATGATACTACCTCCGCAATTTATAACAAGAGCAAGGGAGGGGTGGTTAAAGTATTTTTAAAGGCTGAAGAGGAGATCACAGACATTTACAAAGTCTTCTCTGATCCCTTAGCAACACAGGACATGGTAGCTGGTGCAGGAGAGTTGCTTTTTTTGGCATTATACCAGGCCCTAAAAGGAGCAGACCTGAGCTGGGTACGACACCAGGCCTTTGTTACAGCGTCAACCAAGCCAAGGCCTTTTGCGGCACTTCCACCTTCTAGAGGCGCTGCTCGCCAGCATCAGCACTCCCTCAGAGTTTATTTGCAGATTTGTGTCAATATATGCTTTGTTTACCTTAACATTTATTTTGTATTACTGTAATGACCAACAACGAATTAATTATCATTTGCAGCTTCAGCACTGGCTGCATGGAAATCAGCAGCAGGAGCCAACTGCTTGGCGATGGTTGAATGGGTTGGACGGCTTCCTCACCCCTGTCACAAGCATGGATCTAGTTGCGCCAGAATCTGTCCCAAGTAATATATTTTGCGGGGCAAGACTGGTTGCGAAAGCCGTTGTGGGTGCCGTAAAGCAGGCATATATCTTCGCTTGTGTGCAGCACTTGACGCGCTTCGCGTACCAACGGTCCTCCAATCATCGGCATCAACGGCGACGACGATGATGATAACTTTGACGATGAACTCGAACAATAAAATACTTGATATTGCCATATATAAGCTTAAATACTTATTTACTTATAATTTTTTTTCGGGTTTGTGTTAATCGTTAATCTTCCACAATACACAGTTTTTTTCACCATTCGTATTTTCAAAGTATTATACACCCTTAACTACTGCTCATAGTGAAAAAATTAATAGGACCTTTTTTGTGAACAATTCATTTTGTATTGTGTACTTTCGCTAGGATGATTAATTTTAGAGATAATAACAATAAACCTATAAACCGGTCTTTTTCACCCCTTCCCGTCCCCCCACGGCTAACGCACAAGGTCTATGGCTGGGGACTTTTGGTATGTTACTTCTCTGGGTCAACCCAACCACTTAAAACAATGATTTTCCAAATTCACAAAGAGTAGATGGCTTTCACTGCCTTGCCATGTCGCTAAAATATGCCATCAAGACTGTCTCCGAAACAATATTCTTAGCATTTCTCTCGACACACCATTTTTCGTATACTTTCAATGCTATTTCATATCGCCCTTTACTTTTCTCTGGAAGTAAACTGGCTTCTGCTCTTTTTGCAGCTTCTGTAAGTTCTGGTGGAGTACCAATATTAAAGTGGTCTTCATTATCAGAACTTTCCGACAACATTCTGACTTTCTGTGTTATATAAATTCGAAAAACGAACGAGAAATTCAAAACTGTCACTTAGTTGTTTGTTTTGATGTTGAAGGTTTGCGCCATAACAACCACTGGTACCGGTAACTATAGATATGGAAATGCCAAAAAAGAAAACGACAAATTTTCGTATATTTATTTATTTTTTTCAAAATAAAATACTGTCCCGATTTTTTAATTAATAATGTGGTTGTAAATAAAATAGTATACAAACCTCGGAGGAGAGTTTTCATTATTGTCTCGAGATTTAGTTAAGGACGCTACGCGTCTCGATTAACAATAGACAGTTAAAGCACGGCCAAAGACGTAGACGTAAACGTATCGTTTGACATGTACGCTTGCGCAGTGAGAAATTCACTTGCGTTTACGTGATACGTATCTTTACGTGCCTTTACGTACGTACAAAACGCAAACGTATCGAGCCGAAGGAGTTTCGATTTTCACCCGAATGATGCCGAACGTACAAATTCACAAACAATTCGTTTCCACAACTGGCTAGTAATTAAGTTATTTCATAAATTTTGGGGCCAGTGTAACAGAACTGGGCCTATTATATTACAATAAATTAGTATGAAAATATTAAGCATCATAATAAACTCATTTTGGAATCTATTTAATTAAATATGCTAGTTCTTAGCCAAAATCCATATGAGGATTCTAAAAGATGGAATCTAATAAATAATCATAAAACTCTGTCTGTTTTCCTATATTTTTTATTACTAAGAGCATTTTAAGTTGTAAAGACTACTTTCTGTAATAAAATAATTTCCATTTATAATTTTCTTCATTTTTCGATATTACTTTTATAAATTTAATGCGGATTCAATGGATATCCATTTTCAGTTTTAAAATTAAATAAATTGTTTCACAAAATAATTTAGAATTACAAATGTACCATTTGCGTTACGTACGTCAAATACTTGCTTTAACTCTTGTTTACACGACAACGCAAGGGCAGACGTAACGTAGGTTTCTGCGTTACGTGTCGAGAGATACCTATACGTATTGTGCCTTGCTTTAACTGTCTAATATCAAGCTCTCGACAGTAATGAAACACTTCCCTCCTCGGTATGTAATATAATACTATTGATATAAATACGGCTAATTTAAATTTACTATTTTTCCAATGGGGATATGAAGTTGGTCGATAACTGTCAGTGGTAATGGCTGACCAAAACGTTAATTCATTCAGAATCAATATGTAACCACTACATAGGTGGAAGAAAATGCTCAGAAATATGGAAATTTATTTCAATTGTTAAGAACCCAGGAAAAAACAAGGCTAATATACACTTAATTAAACCTGAACAATGGTTCGAACATTATAGGGGCCTCCTTCAAGAATCTAGACAAGAGTACTTAATTGATTCACCAAGAAACATCTACGTACAGGGAGAAGTAGTTGAAATGTCGGAAGAAACAATAAGAATGGCTGCCAAGAACTTAAAATCGGGCAAAGCAAGCGGCCCAGAAGGAATATACTCCGAAATGTTGAAAAATGGTACGCAGAAACTATTTAGAAGCTTGGCATTAATTTTCAATATTTGCTTAAACGGACATCCCGTTCCAGAAGACTGGAAGCTGGCTTATATATCTTCGATCCGTAAAAAAAGGCAATAAGCTGGACTGCAGTAACTACCGTGGTATATTAGTGACGAGCACAATGAGCAGGTTATATAGTAGAATTTTACGTGATCTCATAGAAGAAGATTATAGAGAAAAGGAGGAAGAAGAACAGAATGGTCTTAGAGCAGGAAGGTCGTGTACAGATAACGTGTTCTGTTTAAAACAAGTTATAGAAAAAAGATCGGCAAGAAACTTGGACACACATATAACATTTGTTGACTTACGGAAAGCGTACGACACTGTCCCAATATCAAGACTATGGAGGGTACTAGAACAATCTACGATCAACCATACTTATATAACAGCTCTTAAGGAACTATATAAGGACGCAAAATCAAAAATAAGGGTAGGAAAAGAGCTTACAGAAACATTTATAACCGACAAGGGCTTGCGTCAAGGTTGTTGTATCTCCCCTACTCTCTTTAAAATATACGTTGCAGTCGCTTTACAAAATTGGAAAAGAAAGATCCGTGGTATGGGCATAGAGATTGATAATGAATGTTTGTTCACACTTCAAATCGCAGACAATCAAATAATAGTTGCCAATGACAAAAATGATATGCAATATATGCTAAGAAAACTTATTGAAGAATACGGAGAATGGGGCTTGACAGTTAACATAGCCAAAACAAAATATCTATGTATAGGCGCACCAGAAGGAAACTTGAACTTGGACAACGGTCACGAAATTAAGCAGTGTCAAGAGTATGAGTACCTGGGAATTACATTTGATAACACTGGAACTGACGGCAGAGAAATAGAGAAAAGGATTATCAACGTGAAAAAAATAATCGGATGTCTAAATGGAATCTTATGGAGCAAATTAATAACACAGCGAAGAAAATTCAATATATATGAAACCATAATAAAGAGCAACCTCCTGTATGGAGCAGAAACATGGAGAATAACTGAGAGATACAAGAAGGGGATAGAGGCCGTAGAAATGGATGTCATTCGAAGATCAATGGGAATTTCAAGACAACAACGAATAAGAAATAATACCATAAAACAACAAATGGGTATAGAAGATACGATAACACAGGATATAGAGAAAAAGCAGCTGATCTGGTATCGGACATGTAGAGCGAATGAAGGACACTAGATGGCCCAAGAAAATAATCAATTGGCAACCAAAGGGCAGAAGAAAACAGGGAAGACCAAAACTGGAATGGCAAAAAAGCGTACACAAAGCGATGAGTGAAAGAAACCTGTCAACAGAGGATTGTACGAATACAACAGGCTGGAAATTGGGTATCGGACAACGTAGAAAAACGTTCTAAACAGACTAATATATATATATATATATATATATATATATATATATATATATATATATATATATATATATATATATATATATATATATATATATATATATATATATATATATATATATATATATATACTGCCGTCCTTAAAACACATGCCGTATCTACAAAAAACGAAAAAAAACGGATTTTGAGATTTTTACATCAATGGATCAGTAACAAGCTAAATTAACTTTTACCAAGCCTATATGCCGTATATGCCTTCGAAATATTTGAAATCGCACGTAATAAATGGCCGTATCTACCAAATTATTATTCTGTTTTAAGAAATAACGCGGTATATGCTTGCTACCAGTAATAAATGCCGTATCTACTTCCACAACTGTGTAGATACCGCCTTTCGAGTTAGAACCTGTCAGATACGGCAATTTGCTATTAGTTACGTCGGTTATGCGCCATAATCAATTAATCGCCGAATTCTGTCACAGTGTATTTCTTCAAGCGTCAAGGGTTAGTTTTCTGTGTTACATTTTTCAAGTTTTTCGCATTTTTGGATAATATAGGGCAGGTATGTATACTTTCCGTAATTTAGTAAGCGAATTACCCAAAAAAACTATTCTAAAATACTACGATGCGACGTATTGTTAAGTAAGAATACTTCTTAAGGTTACTAAATAAGTTATATTCTGTTTATAAAGAATACTTCAGTTTAAATTCGTAGGCTTGTTTGTTTTTTTTTTCAAAAAAACAATAATTATATTAAAATGTGTTGTCGGCCTTTAAGTAAGCTGTCGTCCGATGGCTGTTTAATTTCAGCTTTTATTGTTAGTAACTCTCGTTTCATATTTTCAGGAAAATGTTAAGTAGAACTCAGAAAATTCTTTCTTTGGTTTCGAAAGAACCCCCCGTTCCCGATAACAACACTTGGGCTACAACACCTAATCAGCAGAATATAGAAGTTTTAACTGAAGATGGTTGTCTTCTGACTACTTTAAATTGTGCGATCAAAGATGTTTTGCCAGAAATAATACCGAACCCAGAGCCAAGCCTTTATCCTACGGAAATTTTAAATAAAGAGCCCCTAGTGCTAACTAACTTAACAAATGTAGTACTATTAGAAAATAATGTGGAAAATTTACCTCAGGAACCTACCATTCAAAGTATTAGTTTGGACCAAGGAAAAACTGCAAATGACACAGGATCCCAATTTATTAAAGTTGATGTGCCATGCCAGATAGTAAATAACCAAGTGATTTAAATAATGAATCGCAAACAGAAGAATTGGAAAACATCGGTTATACAAAAGATGGCAATTTAAGGAAAAGAAGAAAAATAGATAAAATTTCTAAGCAAGAAGAACTTATAAAAAAACGAGAAAAACTAATTAAAGATCACCAGGTGTTGCCTGGTTGTAACGTGAATAGATGCAAAAAAAGTGTGTGAAGCTAATACCAGAAGATCAACGAACAATTTTAAACGCTAGTTTTTGGAAATTTTCTAGCAAGGAGAGAAAAGGGTTTATTTTAAATACATGCAGTCGATTGAATGTAAAACGGCGAACTACTGAAAGCGAAAGAAAACAAAACACCTTTAAATACAAATTAAAAGCTGCAAATGGTGAAATCATAGAAGTCTGTAAAAATTTTTTCCTCACAACGCTTGGGTACAAAAAAACGAACGACAGGGTTTTACACGATACTCTCACGAAAATCCCAAGAAACCAGTTAAATGCTAGACCAGATCAACGGACAAGATCAGCCAAGAAAAAAATAAACTATGAATTGGTAGATGCGCACATAGAATCTTTTGAACCATCTATATCACATTATAGGTATGTAGATTATTAGAAAAGAAATTATTATCCTCAAAGTTAAAAAAAACTTTATTTTTCATTTTAGGAGAGAACACGCTCCAAATCGAAGATATCTGCCGAGCGACATTTCCGTTTCTGTAATGTTTGAGTTATTTAAATCCCAATACCCAACCATGAAAGTTAGCTACGAAGCTTATCGTTTACGTGTTAAGGTCAAAAATATTTCATTTGCTTCATTAGGACACGAGGAATGTGAACGCTGTGAAGAATTCAAATTGCATGATCACACGAAGGATGATTTGCAAGAAAATTGTGAAAAGTGCTGCTCTTGGAAGAAGCACATTGATCACGCCAAAGACTCCAGAGAATTATACCAGACGCATGCCAAAACTAAGTTTGAAGATGGTACTGTTTGTTTCTCCGTGGACTTGCAGAAGGTGATCATGTTGCCCAGGGTCGATACTTTTAAAACAGTTCTGTTTATTAAAAGACTTACAACTTATAACGAAAGCTTTGTCCCAGTAGGAATTATGTCAAAACAAAAACCGTTTGCAGTGCTTTGGAATGAAGCTATATCAGGTAGGGACAAAGAAGACATTGTAAGCTGTTTTTATGCATTTTTTCTAAAGCATCGAGACGCACCAAAAATTATTCTTTGGCTGGATAATTGTTCCAGCCAAAATAAAAATTGGTGTCTTCTTTCTTTCTTTGTTAGGATAATAAACTCCTCTGAAATATTGGCTAGCGAAATATTAATCAATTTTTTTGAGCCCGGGCATACTTTCATGTCCGCCGATAGCTTCCACCACCAGGTGGAGCTATCACTAAAAAGGAAAGGCAAGGTATACGATTTTAATGATTTTGTAGAAGCTGTACAAAAGGCACAAAAATCGAGAACTGAAGTAAAAATAATGTCTCATCACGATTTTTACCAATGGAAAGACCTTAAATCTGAGGCAAAAATGAAACAACAAAAAAAAAGAATTTATTTAAGCGATATTGTACAAATAAAAGCTACTCGTGGGTCATTTTTTTTACATTATAAATCTTCTTTAAACAACGAATTTGAAAAATTAGATTTCCTATACAAAAAGGCAATGACAAAGGGTGGTATTTTTTCACAATTTGTGCCACTTCGTCGTACTGCACCTAGAGGTTTTCCGAAAACAAAAAAAGATGCCATCATTAAAAATCTTGGTAACATAATGCCAGAGAACCGAAAAGAGTTTTGGATAAATTTGCCCGAAACTGATAACTAATGAACTTTTGAAATTTTTTGCAATTTGTTATTGTGTGCCTTTTTGTATAAGCGTTAAAGTTTAAGTTAGTGTGTTATGTTTTAGTAAGAAATTAGAAATTATTTGTCGAATTTTTTAACTGTTTGTATTTGTAATTTCTAACTGTTTATATTTGCGATTATTTCATATTATTATAACCTAATAAAGCACCTAATAAAGCACATTAAAAAATTAATCTATAGTCTTATTCAAAGTAAAAATAAATATTTATACATTTTTGTCAATCTATTGAGAGTTTTGCGCACATACGGCATTTTTGTTTTGCATAAAGGCCATAAAATTTTAGTTCAAAACGCCGTAAATGATTTTTTAAATTAGTGTTAATAAATACGATTATTTTTGAGTACTTAACTTATTTTTATACTTATTTTGTTCAATAATTCACGATTGTTATCTTCTAAATTTTCCTAATAGTCAAGGACTAATCAAATAATTTTAACCTCATTTTTCTCCGCTTGGCGCTCGTTGTAGATACGGCATGTGTTTTAGGACGGCAGTATATATATATATATATATATATATATATATATATATATATATATATATATATATATATATATATATATATATATATATATATATATATATATATATATATATGTGTATGTATATACGTTTGATATACCTACATACTTTTAATTCAACGCCAGGCCTTAAGGTTCCAGAAGATTGTATCTTGTTCTTATAAGCTTCTTGGTCAGTGTAATCAAAATAAGTGATACTATTTGTTTCAGTTGACCCATATCCCATACATACATGGGTATAGGGCAATAGTTGCCTAAGTTTACTTATTTGAGCTGGATGTGCCGGCGATCCTACTACCGCAATGGAAAGTAATGAACTCGTATCATATTTCTCGATGAGTTCTTTACTTAGAGAGGTTATTTCGTAGGTGTAACTGTTGGACATAGAAATGAAAGTAACCTGAAATATATCAGAAAGAAAAGTAAGTGTGTGCCGAACACTTGCACCGCTATATCATCTTACTTTATATTTTTCTACGAGGTACAAGCATTTTTCGGCTGAAATGCCACTTCCAACAACCTTGGCAGATCCAGTGGCAATTGCGGCACTAGTCATAAACCAGGCAGATATCCAGTAAAATGAGGTAAAGTGCATTATGACTCCAGGTTTCGAAGTATCAGCGTTTCTAGAATCCAGAATATTGCAGAACATGATATACATCATACCAAATAAACTTTTAGTCGCGTGATTAAGCTTGATTTTGATGGACCGGCACAGCATTGCCCACTTTTACTTATTTTCTTTTAATCAAAAGTATTTTTAAGAAACAAAAATAAATTAATTATTATAAATATATAAACAGTTATTATTTATATCAACAAAACCACCTCTTTAACAGCACTTAAGGGACATAAAGGGTCATTACTACCGATTTTCCGTTCAAAATGTTCTAATAAGGATGCGATGAATTTTTTACAACGACTATTAAGCTATCTTGTACAGGGTGAGTCAACGATAGAGTAAAGTCGATTATCTCATTTGTTTCGAGGTTTACAAAAAATATTAAATATAAAAGTTATAGGGAAGGTTTGGATACACATTTTAAAATTATTATAGAGTATACAGGGTGCTTCAAAAAAGTGTGGCGGATATAATATATGTTTTTTTAAATGCAACACCCTATTTTTTATTTTATTTTTAGATTCTGCGTAAAATTTTATAATTTTTTTTTATATATAATGTTATATACCTAAAATTAATAGTTTTTGTAATATTTAAATTTGTTTAAACAAATGTTAAATTGCAGTGTGACAAAAGATTTTCAGTGGTACCATTGTTTCTGAAGTTGGAGTACCAAAATTTGGTATGAGAGTTTATAAAGATGAAAAAAAAGATATATGTAAAGATATTTTAGTTAAATGCTACAGGGTGTTCAAAATATACTTATGAATTTCAACTGTTTAAAATTAACAAAAAATAATTATTATCAAAATTTCATGTGTCTGTTAAGCAAGTAAAGAACAAAACGTGAATTTTAGTTTAATTTGTTGTAATAAGTATAAATGGTAGAGGTAGAGATAATAGTTACAGGTTTTCCTGAAAATGAACAATGTGACTAATATACACGAACAAGCCAAGATAAACATATTTTTTGGCTCAGTACTATATATTTATAGTACTTTGCTAAGTACTATAAGAATAAATGTAGATTATCTAGAAAACATTTTCAATATTATATTATATTATATTATTGTCAGTGTGTAATGGGACGGTCTCGCGGCTCTAGTAATATTGGTTTTACGAAATGAATTATAAACCAGAATTACTACGAGAAAAAAACTTTACTGTCTGTCGTAAAAAAATCCTATATCAGTAGTCGTCAACAATTAGATAATCTAGTTAGTATTACCCTAATCTGTGGCTATTAGCCCCGACGGAAAATCTAAGTGTTATCTTTAATAATACAGAAATACACCAAGAAATTCACGACTAAGATTTTAGTTGATTTGAGTAAATTTAATTAATTTTAACTAATAATAACAATTGTAACTAATTATTAAACTACTTGTTAAAGATAAGTAATAAATACTTTCGTTTTGTCACGGCAACTATGATGTTATAGCGTAATTATGGTATTAAAAATTAGTTTAAAAATAGAAAAAATTGGAATAAATCGCAGACTATTAAAAATAGGTATATGACATACTTAATAAAAGTTGAAGAGCTTTGCAAAATCTATCAGAAAAAATGAAAATATATAGGGTGTACCATTTAAAAAATTTAAGATTTTTTTAATTTTAAGTAGTTGAAATTCACAAATATATTTTGAACACCCTGTAGCATTTAACTAAAATATATTTACATATATCTTTTTTTTTCATCTTTATAAAACTCTCATACGAAATTTTGGTATTCCAACTTCAGAAACAATGGTACCACTGACAATTTTTTTATTACACTGCAATTTAACATTTGTTTAAACAAATTTAAATATTACAAAAACTATTAATTTTAGGTATATAACGTTATATATAAAAAAAGTAATGGAATTTTACGCAGAATCTAAAAATAAAATAAAAAATAGGGTGTTGCATTTAAAAAAACATATGTTATATTCGCCACACTTTTTTGAAGCACCCTGTACACTCTACAATAATTTTAAAATGTGTATCTTAACCTTCCCTATAACTTTTATGTTTAACATTTTTTTGTAAACCTCGAAACAAATGAGATAATTGACTTTACTCTATCGTTGACTCACTTAGTAAAATTTTTTAAGCTTAAAGTACCACAACACAATTCATAAATGTGACAACTTGACATTTTTTTACAGCAGAGCTACCACCTGAATCCCTAGCGGAAATTTTAAATTCCAGTTAGTCAGCCCGGCCTCGAATATGTCCGTGGTTGGCAACAATGAAAATGGCGCCCTCAATTACGTAACTAAAAGTATAACTGGGGGTATCGCTAATAATAGCTAGTACAACCTCCAGTTATCCTGATGAAAATGTGGTACCAATGTAAAACATCAACTGTAGGCCGTAGTATATGTATATTCAAACAACTTCAATGTTACTTACTCTAATGTCATCATTCCTCTGTCCAAGAGATATTTGTTCGTTACGTATATTCCTTTAGGAGATGAAGTAGTTCCACTACTAAACATAATAAAAGCTATATCAGCGAGTTTCTGTGGCACTGGACGAAAAAACTTTTCTTCATCGTAAATCTTCTCCAAGGATTTTAGAGTGTACTTGTCAGAGTTTCCAATTACAATAATGCAAGGTGTTAAATCCAGACCCACTAAACTATGATGTATCAACTCGACCGATTCCTGGTCTACAAAATTCATTTTTGGTTTTACCAAACTCATTAAATACCGTATTTCGGAAGTTGATTGTTTTGGATTAGCAGAACTGACATATCCTCCCAAGTACAATGTTGCTAGGACTAGAGTTATGTTGTTTATACCAGATTTACAACACAAAAATGCGATTTCTTTTGGTTTAAAACCAAGTTGTTGTTTTCCTAAGGCCACTTTAGTTGATCTGGACTTGACTTGAGCATATGTTTCTATTTCATCAGTGTTGCCGTCAATCTAAATGATATTTGAAATAATAAAATCATTCATCAAAAAAAAATGAAGCAAATTATACGCTGAAAAAATATAAGTAATTTTACAAAAAAAATATTGATACATTAGAGTATTTTTAATAAGCAACTTGTAAAAATAAGATATTTTTGCATAGTTTCACAAAAAAATGTAATTTTGCAAAACAGCTTATTAATATTAAATGATTATTACTAAACGATTTTATTTTCACAATGAGTTTTGTGAGTTCAAAAACTAAATACTAATCTTGTATAAGAAATACAATCTTGCAGTAATGTCTCTAGACATCTTCTCAAAATTTGTGTGAATTTTCCATAATATATTTAGTAAAATATGACGCCATGTCACGTGACAAGCTGATGCGTATTAAGTAATCGATGAAAATGTAGTTATAGGACAGTCGGCAAGTGTATCGATAGCGGGAGCAAATCCGGACAAGCTGGAATAAGTTTTATTTTGTTTAGTTTGGTGTCGAGAAGCACGTATTAAATTTGCACTCCCCGTAAAGCCCGGATTTGGCCACCATCTTGGAAAAATTGGCTAAAATTCGGTTTATTTTTCATGATTTGTCAATAACTCGATTTCCATCAACTTTAGTGCAAAATATGTAGATACCAAAATTAAAGAAGAGGAAAAACTCTATAAAAAACGTTGTATGGTTTTTTTTCGTGCGACTACCCAAAGTATCGAATTTTACGAAAACAAAATAAAGTTTGATATAATGTACGTGTTCAATATATCCGGGGTTAACTGTACTTGTTTCCACACCACCTTGAGCGGCACCACCGAGACATAAAGCCTAAAAACTTGTTTGCTACTGGTTGGCAGTAGCCTGCTGTCGCGGTCATAATGGAAGAACGCAATTTGTATTATGACCGCAATAACGGACCAAATTTTTATTGTTGCGCGACTGGTGGAAAATCAAGTTATTTGAGTTGCTCTCCCCATTTCCAATAGGCCTAATCCACATGTCGTCAACTTAGGTTTCTGTTGAGGTGGAAGGTTTATCAGAGTTCCTTCGTTTTTTTTATGTTACTGGCTGTTCAATATAATCTTCATGACTGTCTTTTCGTTGATCTTTATCGAGAGGAAAATTGTCCTCGTACTCATCTTCATATAATTTTGCCACCTCCAAACTATTCGAACATGATTTGCCCTGACAAAGTGCACACATTACCGAGCAACGCAAACCTGCTTTCCGGCAACTACAAGATGTATTACAACCTTTGGCACATTTACATGAAATCAAATTTAATAATTCTTGGGGAGCTGCAGCTTGGGAAGTAGCAATGGGCATCAACCCATTCTTTGAATTTTTCCATCCCCACTCCAGAGGTGATTTTTAACCAAGCGAGCTGCGTCTTTGGTCGGTGGTAATGATGCTAGATTTGGGAAGTGGTAATAGATTTTACGAAACACTGGTATCTGTACTTATCTAATGAGTCGCATTTTTTGGATCCATATACATGAAGAAGAAATCGTTCTCCAGCTTTTTCTGTATCTTCTGGGGGTGCGTTTGCGTCTTTGAAAGTTTGTGCAGCTGTCTGTAATAATTCTTTTTCTTTCTGTAAAACTTTAAAGAATTAAATTTTTCCTTGTCTGTATAATGCGGATATGGTGTCGCAGCCACTAAATGCGTGGAGAAATGAAATGTCCATAACTGAAGCATCTACATTCATATTATGGGGTGCATACGTCCTACTTTGCGACCCCTTGCCTGACGGCAATAAGAATTACAAATAAATCGGTGTCTTCGCCGACTATAATTACCGTTTCATTGTGATTTGATTTTTCAATTGCAGTGTTGACAATTAATGTGTCAGCATCTTCATCAGCCTGCTTGACTCAGAAGTCCTCGTTCGTCAAACGATTACGTATCATTGATATTATTCGACATTTGTTCCTCTTATTTGACAAGAATTTTCCCTGAGACACTGTTGCCGTCATTTTTTCATCAAAATAAATTTCCGGTGATAAAGCAATTTTAATAATAGAGGAAATAATAACTGCTTATAATATATTTAGCGTGTTTAAACCGAGATAACTTGAAAACGAGTCGTCGCACGGAAAAAGTGCATAGAACGTTTTTATAGAGTTTTTCCTCTTCTTTAATTTTGGTCTGTACATTTTTTGCACTAAAGTTGATAGAAATCGAGTTATTGGCAAATAATGAAAAATAAACCGAATTTTAGCCACTTTTTCCAAGATGGCGGCCAAATCCAGGCTTTGGGGGTGGTGCAAATTTAACACGTGGTTCCTTACACCAAACTAAACAAAATAAAATTTACTCTAGCTTGTGCGGATTTGCTCCCGCCATAAGCTATTTTTTAATACTTGGCGACTGGCCTATTAGAGAAAAGACGAAGAACATTTTAATCTAAGCTGTTTTTTGCACAGGTGATAGTCTCAGTGCGTGGATGATTAGTGTGTTTATAATTTAAAGTATATTATACTAGTTATGTTTATATTCATATGTACAGGGTGTCCCACTAAGAATAGCTCTCGGCTGTATCTCGGAAAGTACTAGCGGTAGGGGCTGCGGAAAAAAATATTTATAACAAAAGAGGCTATGGGAAATTGCTGGAAATTATTTTCAAGTTCGTAGAACGACCGCTAGGGGGCGCAACTGCAACAAAAAATATGAAAATGGAGTTTTTACACAATTTTGCCTAGATAAGGTGTACTATAAGTAATAGCTTCACAATCTTCACTAAATTTTGAATATTTTTTGTTAGAGCCAATTTCCCCTATCTATCAAAATATAGTTAGAAGTTAGGGAAGGTTAGATCTGTTTTTATTTAAATATTAATAACTCTGGACTGAATGATCGGAATCCAACACGCGGGGCTCGTTTAAAAGAGCGTTACTTACTCTATATTGTACCATATAAACAATAATAATGAGCATGTGTAATAATAAGCTTTTGAACGTAGATGCTAGGGGGCGTTGTCTTACAATTTAACAAACATTGCGCGTTTTTTCAAAAAAATTAAATGCAATAGTATATGCAATTTTAGTTGATAGTAAGAGTAGTAAAAGCTTAAAAAGTCAGCGAAAACCGCATTTTGATATCTTCTTTCAAACCGAAGATATTAGCAAAATTATAATAAATACCAAAAAATAAGCCCTTAATTACCTTATTTTTACAACACGGTATCAGTAGCCCTCTTAATTATGCCCATTCTAACAAAAAATAAGATAGAAACAGTTAGTTTATTTTAAAATCGACGAAATACCAGAATACCATAATACCCCAGAGGTATTAATATCTAATAGTTAAGATATTAATAACAGTGAACAAGAAACGATGAATCAGTGAAGTCATGGTAGGCTTTGGAAAAAAGTTGCTTTTGACGTAATAGTATAAATGTCAAATTGTTATTAGATCAACATTTTGATAGTCTTATCAGCGTTTTTTATCTTTCGATTTCTTTTTCAAAATGTCAACAACTTCAACTATTTCAAATAATAAAGGCATTATAAATGTGATCTCTCTACAAGATAAATGTGATCTCTCTACATCCAACATATCTATAAGCATTATTTCTTCTTTCAGACTGTGTTTCGGAGGACAAATTTAATAGAGGACCGAAGTAGAAAACTCTATACATCCATAGTCTCTAAGTTGGTAAGTTGATTGTTTTGATTAGAATCATTTTTCTTGCTTGTTTTTTTATTTTGTATCTAATGTCAATTTTGTTCCTATTTTGGTTAGGTCCAGAATTCCCAACAGGTTATTCTAGACAAGAAGAGATGGCAAAAAGTATCCAAAATACATAAGTTCTGTTTTGTTTTCATTAACCTTTATAATAAATATTATAATATTATTATAAACACGTATTTTATTTAATTTATTAATATTTACTAACGCTTTGTGAATTTACAACAAAGTAATTGTAAATTCACTCTAATAAAATATTTTAATTTGTTGTTACTCTATAGTAATAATACAAAAAGATGGTGATTTTAAAAGATAAATTTACTATGAGATACATATTGTTTTAAACAAATTCACAAAGAATATTGGTGAATATAAAGATATATTATAAACATATTTACATACATTTACAAACGAATTGTAAAACTAAAAAACGGATGATAAATTTACTACAATAATCTGTGGCAAGAAATAACCCTCAATATTGTTATTAAATTCAGAAATTAAAATTTTCAGTGTATAGTATGTCTGCTGATTGTCTTTACAAGGGGAAAAACTTTTTCATTAAAATTTTTAATCATGATTTTTTTTAATTTTCTCTAAAACGTTATGGAAATTTGGAAAAGTATAAAAAATACTAGATCACAAAAGACGTCTTGCATCTAATCAAGATCAGACTATTCAGTCACTTACTAATTTTATAAGGAAACAATAGTGATTGTTGAAGTAGTGTACGCAACCAAGGTGCCTAGTGTTTTTTGTATAATTTTCGGGAAAATCATTTGGGATTGGAGGGATTGGAAAATTGATTTGATAATGTTTCTATTGAAGCTGCAACGTACACAATCTTAGAAAGTACATTACCTGACATATTTTATCACCCAATTCATCAGCCCTCTCAAAAATATACTGTCCAAATCCTTTAGAAGGTGTTTCTATTGTTCTTTTGGGCCCTCTAATAATCAAATCACTCATTTCCAGTTATTCCTTGTTTAAATAACTTAAAATAATAAAAAATGTATAGACTTTGATTTAATTTATAGGCTTTCAGCTTTCAATGTGGAGATATAAAAATATTTATTGATATGAACTCACACAGGGTTGCCCCGTTTTTGTAACAGGACAATAATTGACTTATATTTAGATATTGTCATTGAAAGGGTAGGTATGTACTAAAGATAATTAATGTGTTTTTTCTAGAACTATTAGTATGGGTACTGATAAAAAAATAAAATTAACATTCCTAATTTTTTTGGCAGAAATTTAAAATTGCCGTGAATTTATAAATATAGAAATGATATAGGAGGTGGCAACACTGCAAGGTTTAGATATACCGTAGAGAAATCTCAAGCAAATAAACAAGTGGCAGTAAAAAGTTTTTTAAAATTTCCCGAAAAATGTCAAGAAATATTTAAAATTTTCAACCGGGGTCGAAATACACTACCAGTTAAAATATCTGCACTTATTTCTGACACCCTGTATAATTTTATGATATCAGGTTATTTCGAAAAGGCGATAATGCAATTTTATCGTCGTGTATAAAACAGTATATTTTTCCATAGCGAGTTACGTTTGAAAAACTATCCAGAAATTATTATGGCTGTACTTAAACTGCCGTTAAACGGTAGTTTACTAAAATGCCGTTAATAGGTATGACGTCGTTGATGTGACCGCACTTGACGGCTTTATGAAATATATGAATTTTATAAGGACTAACCAACGCTATCCACCCCACTAAATAACCAACTTAACCAACGCAACTAACCTCGACACTGATAAAAAATATAAAAAACAAATATAAATTAGTAAAAATCAACCAACCCCACCAAATAACCAACTAACCAATGAATTAACACCCTCCAAATAACCAAGCTAACCAACCCGCCAAATAACTAAACCAATCCAACCAAAAAAAATGAAACCAATGCAATAAGATCACGCTATAAGCAAAAAAAAATATAAAAAAGTCTTGGTCGGCGTGAGATTTGAACCACGGACCATTCGCTTACGAAGCGATAGCCTCAGCCACTAACCCACAGGTGCTCTTACAAAATGCTTAAGGCTAGGCATTATTTTCCGCCGACATGAACGACGTCACAATATCTATTAACGGCATTTTAGTAGGCTGCCGTTTAACGGCTGTTTAAGTACATCGAATTATTATTTTAAGGAATTTATTACGAGTAGAAAAAATGTTGTGCTGGGTTGGCGTTGGTTTCTATGTAATTTGACAAATAAATAAAGCTCTCTCTTTAGTTGTCAGTTTTGAGTCAATATTAATTTTTTAATTCTCTTTCGTGTCGATTGCTGATTGAATTGGAGCCAGAAATGGCTCAAAACGAACCAACAGATATTCAGGCTGAGGGGACAAACGCCATTTCCAAACTACTTCCATTTAAATCCCGAATAACTTATGAAAAGGAATACAAAAATTTTCAAAAATGGAAGCAATTAAAAAACGTGCGAGAAGAAATAAAGTTTTTAACCTATCCTCGCTATTAAAGTATCATTTAATCTACCCTTGCTGTTAAAGTACTATTTTATGTAATATTTTTGATAGATATAAGGCAATTTTAACAGTTGCTATGGAAAAATATATTTATTATTTTGAAAATTCCACACCTGTAATTTTGAACCAATCAAAACGTGTTTTTTTGACAAATCACCATGGCAACGGATAAATTTTAGTGAATTTTGTTTCCTTGTGGGCAGCCAACAGCGAATTATACTGGAAATTTTTTGACGTTTATAATGACCTATGATAATGACAGAATATCTTTTTGAGAGTCTGGTTTTTATTTGTTTACTTACATGATAATTTTGATACATTTCAATCACAAAGTTGAGATGAGAGTTTGTAAACTGTTTCCATACGCTTGACTTCGATTTCCTAGTATTCGCGGGTGTCAACTGCTTAATCTCCTGGCGAATATTTTCTTTGCTTTCATGACCGAAGCGAAACATTTTTTTTACCGCTTGACAGCTTCAAAACTGAAATAGTTCTTAGGTTTGAGACAAGGTTTGGGATGGGTTTGGGTGTCACTTAGTTGTCATAGTAACTAAATAATCAATTTGACCAAAAATCGAAAAATACATTTTAATTATTTGACTTTTAAACACAATTTGGTGTGGAATTTTCTTACCGAACACCACACGAGGTCAAATTAAATACGGACATTTTTTCTGGCTCATAAATAATTTTCAAAATATTCATGAGCTCGAAAAAATTTCCGGAAATAATTTGACCTCTAGTGGTATTACTAGTGAAAATTCTCAGGACATTTTATTTTGATGGTGATATTAACATTAACATGTTAAATTTCTTTTTTTGCGAGTTTTTAAAGTCTGCTACAAAAACTGATCACCATATAAAAAAAATGCACCATACATTTCGAATAACAAATCCCAGGCAATAAATCTTTATAGCTTGTTTGACATAATTTAAATGCCTAATTTCGAAAATATATATTGTACTAAAAATTACCTTGAAAAATCGATCAGCTACAGTAAAATTCTACATGTGAAAAGTATACAGGGTTGTTCACCACATACGACACGGAGTATTGTAGCTAAACGATGAGATTTTTACAAATTGTAAGTTTGGGGTTCGTTGAAGGACTATTAGAGCTACAATTTAAAAATATTTTTACAAGATACAAAGTGTCCCAAATAAATAAAAAATATCAAAGTTGTATTTTTTTTTTAATGGAACACCCTGTATATTATTACATGTTTAGTTTCTACGATTAAAATAAAGGTAAATTTGATTAAGGTTTATTATACTTAAACCTTACCGTTTTTGAAATATTTTCAATTTTGTGAAATTGCAGTAAAAGTTTTAAAGCTTCATTCTTCCAAGGGTATCAATGTTTTTAATACTAAATATTTAATGAAGTTTATTTATTGATCAGTTATTGTGTTGCAATAATAAAAATAATACTACCTTATACAGAGTGTCTAAAAATTTATTTTAAATAATTATTAGCTTCAAACGGCAATAACTTCTTTAATTTAAATGGAATGCCCTGTATATTTTAGGAGAATCAGATGCACAATTAAATTGTCTATCAAATTGTATTATACCATTTTTACCTATCCCTTCAAGTTTTCGTAGAAAATGCATTTTCTTATAATTTAGACCTCATTTATCAATATATCCATGGAATATTGACATTTTAGATTGTTTTTAAAGCAACAAATGTACAAAATGTACAGACTAGTAATATTATCGTTTTTAGCAAAACGATAATATTACTAACCCATTGTATGCAAAAAGAAAACTATTTAAATCTTTTAAAAGACTATACCATTAATTAAATATAACACCATTATTTCCGCCCATATACTAATTAATGGCATACTTAATTGTGTTCGTTAATAAATTATTATAAATAAATGTGGATTTTTGAGTTAGAAATCAATATAATAATAAGTTATCAAATTAAAGTCTTTGTTGTTATAAATAAGCATTTATTAAAAAATGAGATATCATTTTTAAGGTGTTACTTTTTATCACACTGTCTAATGCCCATACAAAATTCAGTATTTTAGTATTTGGAGCAATTATTATTAATCAACGCAAACACTCAGTTAATGTAGTTTGAATACTGGAATCATATTAATTGGACCTCTTTAACAAATATTTAAACAGTTTTTTTTTATTTTTTAATGAAATAAACGAATTATATCGACAATATTAGTATCTGTACTCTTTAAAAATTTGGTACATCTTTAAAAATAATCTAAAATGTCAATAGTCCATGGGTATATTGATAAATAATTTCTAAATTACAAGAAAATGCATTTTCTACGGAAACTTAAAGAGATAGATAAAAAATGGTATAATATAATTTGATAGACAATTAAATTGTGCATCTGATTCTCGTAAAATATACAGGGTGTTCTATTTAAATTAAACAAGTTATTGCCGTTTGAAGCTAATAATTATTTAAAATAAATTTTAGACACTCTGTATAAGGTAGTATTATTTTTTATTATTGCAACACAATAACTGATCAGTAAATAAACTTCAGTAAATATTTAGTATTAAAACTTTAATACCCTTGGAGAAATGAAGCCTTAAAATTTTTACTGCAATTTCACAAAATTGAAAATATTTCAAAAACGGTAAGGTTTAAGTATAATAAATCTTAATCAAATTTACCTTTATTTTAATCGTAGAAACTAAAAATGTAATAATATACAGGGTGTTCCATTTAAAAAAACTTAGATATTTTTTACTTATTTGGGACACTCTGTATCTTGTAAAATTATTTTTAAATTGTACCTCTAATAGTCCTTCATCGAACCCAAAACTTACAATTTGTAAAAATCTCATCGTTTAGCTACAATACTCCGCGTCGTATGTGGTGAACAACCCTGTATAAATATTAAGTGCATATAGTAAAAATATTTAAATAATAATAAATATTTCTGTCTATTTGTTTTTCTACAAACACAGGTATTTAAATTTATTTTTTAGTAATTATTTCAAATAATTCGGAAATTAAATTAAACAATAATTAGTTTATGCTCAGATCTGAAATAGAAAGCTAGACATGAACATTTTAAGGTACACTGGGCCACCCTGTAAACTCTTATCGCTGTTATTTTACTAGTTTTCGAAGTTAATAACTTAATTACACCTCGAACTTCGCTAAATTCCGAAATATTCTGGTAATAAATAACTTCTTAAACTGTCAAAATTCAAAATTGTCAGAGTGCGGCTTAAAATTCGCGTTTAAGGGTGGGGGTTGTGCTGTAAAACGAACAGAGAAGCAAGAAGCACCGAATTAACAGTCTTTGCCGATAAGAAACAATAAATTTGTGACCTGTCCCATTAATAATCTCTTATATTTATACAGTGTCGCAGATAAAGTTCGCATCATATAAGATTTCTTCATTCTTTTAAATGGAACACTCTGTATATTATTTTTTCAGTAGATGGAGAATTAAAAAATTTACCTTTTTGTTTAACGGTTTCGCAAATATT